CTCTTTCTTTTTCTTCCTTCTTTCCTTCCTTCCTTCTTTCCTCTTTCTTTCTTTCTTTCTTTTAATTACTTTATCCTGTTTCTTTTCTTTCACATGTCTACGTATATTTTTTTATTTTTAAAGATTTTTGTTTATTTATTATGTATACAGTCTTCTGCCTTCACACCAGCAGAGGGTACCAAATCCCATGTGGTTGCCGGGAATTGAACTCAGGATCTTTGGAAGAACAGTCAGTGCTCTTACACACCACACTGTAAACCTTTAGAGGTTTTCCTTCTTCTGAATCTGTCTGTACTGTAAATCTTTACCTTTTCTGGCCATGTGGTCTTTTATCTGCTAAACAGCACTGCTAAAATTAAGCAGCAGCTGCTTTAGCTGTTGTCTTTCCAAGATGGGAGGGGTATGTTTACTGCCAGCACTGAGAGCTGTGCTCCTTGCCTTGGTCTATGCTGCCATCAAGGAGCACACTGCCGGCTTGGAGATGTGGTCACTGCCACTGCCAGCTGCTCATAGACACCCTGCAGTTTTTTCCGCTTATGCTGAGTCAGGAAACGTCTCTTAAAGGAGCCACTCGAGTCTCTGCTTGTCTCTAGCAAAACAGAGACCACCTGAGAAACTGCTGCTACCAAATCTCATGCTTGTCTCTGTTCTTTTGCTTCTAAAAGGTCCTTCTGTGTATATGTTTGTCTCATTGGTTGATAAAGTACTGTTGGCCAATAGGGAAGCAAGATAGGTGTGACTAGGACTCTAGGAAGATTCTGGGAAATGTAGTAAAGAGAAATCGTGAGATCCAGGCAGGAAGTGACATAGCAGGCCGACTCAGAATATAAGCAGGGACAAACAGGAAATTGCTCTCTTCCTCCTCCTCTCTTGTCTATGGAGCTGCCATGTGATCCTGGCAAGAGAAGACACTTGCTGCCAACATCCCCCATAAGTCTTTATAAAATATGTAGATTAATAGTTATGGTTGATAATTAAGACTGAGCTAGCATATAAGAAATCCTGGTCATTGGCCAGCAGCATTGTAACTAATATTAATCTCTGTGTGTTATTTTGGGTGCTCAGGTGACAGTGGGCAGAACTCAGGCGGGTGGCAGAAAGACATCGTTACAGAACCACATTAAGGTGATAGCTTATACCTCTTATCCACTGCATATGCAAAACTGCTTTGTAAATGTTACCCACTCAGGAATTTTACTGTGAGTAGTACATATAACCTTATGCTACTAGCTGTGGAAATTAAAATAAACAAATAAATTGTAATTGACACTTCATCTGTACCATATCAGCAGTCACCAGTGCATTTTCCTCTCCCAAACAAATCAAAACAACATGAAGCTTTAAATCCATTCATGGTAAATGTTCTTGCTTTTAGATTTTATTTAGAAGATTTGTTTATTTTTAATGGATGCAAGTGTTTTGCCTTTATGTATACTAGTGTGCATGCCTGGCATGCACTGTCAGGATGACAGAAGCGGTGTAAGGCATGTGGATAGTGTAAGATCCTATGTAACTGGGCTGGAGAGATGGCTTAGTGGTTAGGATCACTGCCTGCTCTTCCAGAAGTCCTGAGTTCAATTCCCAGCAACCACATGGTGGTTTACAAGCATACATAATGAGATCTGGTGTCCTCTTCTGGCCTGCAGGCATACATGTAGGCAGAATACTATATATATAGTAAATAAGTTAATCTTAAAAAAAAGTGACAGACTTCGATGATCCTTCACAGAAGGCCTTTCTATGGAGCAGAAGAGGGATGGAATGGGGGTCGGTGGTGGGCATGGGAGAATTGGAGGGAGAGGGAACTGGGATTGATATATAAAATAAGATTGTTTGTAATTTAAATAAAACCGGTGGTGGGCATGGGAGAATGGGAGGGAGAGGGAACTGGGATTGATATATAAAATAAGATTGTTTGTAATTTAAATAAAATTAAAAACAAAGATCCTAGGGAACTGATGTCACAGATGGTTGACAGCTGCTACATAGGTTCTAAAGTGAACCCAAGTCCTCTGCAAGAGCAAGTGCTCTAAACCACTGATCCATCTCTAGCTCCCCCTGTACCCCTTTTTTGAGGTAGTCTTATATAGCCCAAATTGGCTTAGAACCACCAAATGCTGGAATGATAAGCTGTATCATGCACAGTTTACTAGGACATTACCGAAAATGACTTGCTAGAAAAAGATTTGGTGGTACAATTAAACAATTGAATTTAAACCTGGACATCTGGTTAGTTTTGTTGACTATAAACAGATTTGCCATTTGATCTATACGAACTATAATTCTAAGGACATCAACTGTCTTTTATTTTGTTCAAGAGCCAAATGAAATTTGAGTAGTCAAAATACATTTCAACATAAATACTTATGTATATTTGTAAACAAACAATGAAACAGCACCAGGGACTTGTATAAAATTTCATGTTTTTATGCAAGCTGCTTAAGTAATAAGTCACACTTGGTCTATTTTCAATGCACATGACTGAAGAAGCTATTGCAACTGTTCATCAAATGCCCCGTGGGCTTTTCCTTAGCTATTTCAGACACTCAAACCAATATTGTCTATATTCTGAATATCAACTTGAGTTACAGATTAAGATGAAACACTTCACATGGTGTTGAAGAAGTGATGCACTCTGTCTTCAAATTGCCATTATGCTTTCTCAGACTTAGACTGCCTTCCAAGAACTATTTTCCATCCCCAGGAGATAGGCTTTATCAAGATGGCTCATCAGCTAAATCACGCTGGTCAAAATACCTAGTAAGAAAAAGAATTCAGTGTATTCATATCAAGCACAGCATTGCCTATAACAGTAAAAGCTCACAACTCTATAAAGAGACTAAACTACAGCCTATCTACCCAATGGGAAAAAACACCCATATACATTAAAAAATGGGGGGAGAGGATGTTGCATTCTTCAGGAAAGCTGCCTAGGTTTGGATCCTGTCTCTACCATACACTACCCCTGTGAAGCTCAGGAAGTAGGAAAGTTATTTTCTGTCTTTCTCCCAGTTTCCTCATAAACCTACCTATTATGGCACACTAAGAAAAATGCTTGCTATAAAGTCCCCAGTAAAATGAAATTCATCAAACATCATAATTATTAATAGATCAAGAAACAAGATGAGCAGGGCAGTGGTGGCGCATGCTTTTAACCCCAGCACTTGGGATACAGAAGCAGGCAGATCTCAGTTTGAGACCAGCAAGGACTAGCTTGACAGAGAAACCCTATGTCAAAAAACCAACAAAAAAAAATCACTCAATGCTCAGTGTGTGTGTGTGTTCTCAAATCAAGTTTGGGGAAGGGGATAACTTCTGGGTATTTAATGAAATGTATTATGAAGTTTTAGAAAGGTGCTAGCAAAAACAAGACAAAGCAAATAATAATAACAAACCACTGATGAATGAGTAAAAACATGTCCAGGAAGGGACCTAAATAATTGTGTGCCTTTTGTTTAGAGTTAGAATATATTTTCAAACAAATTCAGGGGATACTCTGATACAAGGTATTAGATCAAACAAGGAATGCAGATGCAGCCTAGTTGGTAGACCTTTGCCTTAAACACACATACAAGGCACCAGGTTCTAGCCCCATTCTGATAAAAAAACAAACAAAAAAAAGGAAACGAGATTAAACATATTAGATAGAAATATACAGCAACTGAAAATGAATGAAGCATTAGTACATTCTACCTTCTATTGATAACAAACAGGAGATTGGATTTCTTAATTTACCTGCTAACTAAGCAGATCAGCAGATTCAAAGCGGGAACTCTTTCATCATCTTTACTGCCCTGAAATACAAGAAAAGTATAGTTTATTTCCCCTCAGATTTTTTTTTTTAAGATTTTATTTATTTTATTATTAAGTATACAACATGCTGCTTTCTTGTATATATCTGCACACCAGAAGAAGACACCAGATCTCATAACGTATGGTTGTGAGCCACCATGTGGTTGCTGGGAATTGAACTCAGGAACTCTGGACGAACAGTCAGTGCTCTTTTTTCTTTCTTTCTTTTTTTTTTTTTAAATATTTTATTTATTATGTATAATCTTCTGCCTGCATGCCAGCAGAGGGCACCAGATCTCATCCAAGGTGGTTGTGAGCTACCATGCGGTTGCTGGGAATTGAACTCAGGACCTCTGTAAGAACAGTCAGTGCTCTTAACCGATGAGCCATCTCTCCAGCCTGCAGTCAGTGCTCTTAACCTCTGAGCCATCTCTCCAGCCCCTTCCCCTCAGATATTTTCATAATAAATTTCTTTTTAAGACAAAATCGTGAAAGTTTTATTAGATGACAGTCATCACCACATGGAATAAACTGTCAAGATGCTGGTTTTTGACTCATGCCTTAGATATCAGAGATGGGAGGCAGAAGCAGGTGGAGCTCTGTGCATTAAAGGCCAGTCTTGTCTCCAAAATGGACAGAAGAAACCTGAAGTTAAGCATTCATTGAAAACACTGGGGTATTTTTGTTTGTTTTGTTTTGTTTTGTTTTGAGGCAAGGTTTCACTGTTTTCCCCTAGCTGGCCTGGAACTCCCTATGCAGACTGGACTGACCTAATGTTCAGAGACCTGCCTGCTTTGCCTCTTGAGCGCTGGGGTTAAAAGCAGGTGACACTATGTCTGGCTCATCTTTTATTTATAAAATTAAAATATAAACACATCATTTCCCCTGTTCCCAAGTTTCCTCCCTCCAATTATTTCCATGTACCCCATCTTGCTCTCTCTCAAATTCATGGCCTCTTTTCCTTGTTGTTTTACACACACCACACACACAAAATCTGCTTAGTCCATATACTGTTACTTATGCACAATTTCAGGGCTGACGAGTTGGATAACCAATTCGGGGGCCTCTATTATCATTCTTTAGTTCATATAAAAGGCCCCTTATTTTATTCTGAGGCTTAGGTTTCATGTAGCCCAGTAGGACCTAAAATTCCTATGTCGTTTCCAGGCTGCTTTGATCCTCCTGCCTTCACCTCTCCAGTGCTGACAGGCTTGGGCTATCACACTTGAAATATGCAGTGCCATGGCTAGAACCCTGGGCATGCTAGAAGAGCACTGTGATCAATAGGTTTTAGCCCCAGTTACAATCTCTTATTTTACTTTGTTGGTTTTTGAGACAGGGTTTCTCTGTGTAACAGTCCTGGCTATCCTGGAACTAGCTCTGTAGACCAGGCAGGCCTTGAACTCAGAAATCCGCCTGTCTCTGCCTCCCAAGTTCTGGGATTAAAGGCATGCCCCCCCCCCAACCTGCAGTTTATTTTACTTTTTAATTATGCTTCTATTTATTGTGTATTTCCCAGGATATCAAGCTCAGGTCACCGGCCCAAGATCATATAAAGAAAGATGCTGTTCAGAAGGATTAATAATTAATGCTTGGCAGTGCTGGTGCATGCCTTTAATCCCAGCACTTAGGAAGCAGAGGCAGGTGGATCTTTTGAGTTTAGCAACCCTGGTTTACAGAATGAGTTCTAGGACAGCCAGGCTACACAGGGAGACCCTGTCATGGGGTGAAAAGAAAAATTAATGCTGTTTACAAGGGTTCTAGTTTTATAGGCACTACAACAGGGGTGGTTATAAGTGAAATGAGGCAGGGATTGCTCTGGACACTGTCCTATTAGGTGATCTTCCCCACTATATCATGATTAAGTTGGTAGGTAGAACAACACATGGGCTCTTTGAGCTTCCAAGACCAAACTAAAATCAGTTTCTTTTCAGGCTGGAGAGAGTGCTTGCTCAGCATACAGAAGGTCCTGGGTTCAATTCCTCCAGAGTTAATAAACATTTGCTATAGCAACACAAAACAGACTAAGAGAAGGGTGGAAGCCATGAGCATCAGAACTAAATCCTGGGGTCTACTCATTTTTATCTTGTCTGTACCTTCAGACTTCCTTTACCTGAAGGAGAAAAAAAAAAAAAATCTTCACTGTACTCCTTTTCCTTATTCTTTTTTTTTTTTTTTTTTTTTTGAGACAGGTCTTACTATGTAGTTGTGGCTGGCCAGAGGCTCACCATGTAGACTAGGCTGGCCTTACAGAAATCCACTGGCCTCTGCCTTCTAAGTGCTGGGATTAAATTAAAGGTACTCACCACCATGTCCCCTCCCTCCCCCTTTTGAGAGAGGGTCTTTAATATAGCTCAGGCTGGACTTAAGCAGCAGTCCTCTCCTTTCCATCTCCTAGTCTTGTCTACCATCTGGCTTTATGTTATTTAATCTACTATATTTGAGGCTTTGTGGTTTTGTGGCTTCTTTAATGTCAACTAATAACATATCCCAGATTTTTCTATGTCACATGATCACTGAACTTCTTTTCCACCATCTCCATGAGTAGACAATTCGTATCTGACATATATGTTATAACTCACCACCAGGAGCCTAACTTCAGAGCATCTTCTTGCAAGCTGTCGAATTAGTGAATGAGCTTCAGGTAGTAAAGGCTTTTCAAGACAAGCCAACAAAGCATAAAACCATCTTCCCTAAGTAAAAATATAAGAAGCAATGAATAGACAAATAATGAAGCATCCACTCAACTTGCTTTTCTAAATGCCCAATGTTGTTCCCTGCTTACATGCTACTAATAAATTGAGGGATGAATAAATCAAATGATAGCTCCTCTATTTCCTAGCCACAGACGTAGGCCACTAGATACATCAAAATAGCTTAAGATTCCCAACAAACTCACTTCTGATATTTGTACTACAGTTTAGGGGTACACTTCCCTCTCCATGCCCCCCGCCCCTTGAGACGGTTTCATTATGTATCACTGGCTGCTGGCTTGCTTAGAGATCTGCTTGGCTCTGCCAAGAATAAAGGTATGTACCACCACACTGGAGTATAAGCAAAACTCTTAATTTCTAAATTCGGTGGGCCTGTAGTGCTAATCACTTCAGAGGTTGAAAAAAGGGATTTCGAGTTCAAGGCCACCCTGACCAACTTAATAAGACTGTGTCTCAAAATGAAATAGTAAAATGGGGGCTGAGGGTACAGCTCATTGTAAAGCACTTACCTAGCATGCATGAAGGGAAAAATCTTAATTAAGATGTATATAAAAACTTGCTCTTCATCGACAATAGTGCAAACCATTTTAGTATTAAAACTTGTCTCCTGAAGCCGGACAGTGGTGGCGCACACCTTTAATCCCAGCACTTGGGAGGCAGAGGCAGGCAGGTGGATCTCTGTGAGTTAGAGACCAGCCTGGGCTCCAAGAGCTAGCTCCAGGACAGCCTCCAAAGCCACAGAGAAACCCTGTTTTGAAAAACCAAAAAAACCCAACCAACCAACCAACCAACCAAACAAACAAACAAAAACCCCCGCCTGTCTCCTGAATCCACACAAAGGAACTGTAATGCAAACAAAACCGTTGGGTTCCCTTTGCCAAATGGTCCCATCAGCAGCTGTGCTTCACTATTCCCTACCAGCCTGGTGCTCTGCCTCACGGAAGCCAGGGACAAAGGAAAGGCAGCATAGGAGCAAGGACTCTGAAACTGTGAGCCCAAATGTGTCCTTAACAAAACCACAAAGCTCTGGAGCTTCATGTAGCTAGACTCTTGAAGTAGTACTTCAATTACAAAATAGAAAAGTAGGGCGCTGGAGAGACGGCTCAGAGGTTCAGAGCACTGGCTGCTCTTCTAGAGGTCCTGACTTCAATTCCCAGCAACTACAGGGGAGCTTATAGCCATCTATAATGAGAGCTGATGTCCTCTTCTGGTGTGCAGGCAAACATGCAGACAGAACACTGGCTACATAATACATAAATGAATCTTAAAAAAACACATCTTAAAAAAAATAGTAACAGTTTACACAGAAAAATGCTAAGAATATTAAGGAAATAGAAGAAACATAATTTCAGTCTTATCATCCAGATAAAATTTCTGACTTTTGAAATGTTTGACTTCAGGCTTCTTACAGTGTACAAAATGTTTAAAACTATGTGAAAAGTCAGGTATGATCCTAGCGGGGACAAAGTATGAGTGATTTTAATATGTTTTTATCTCATGAAAAAATACGCTAAAGACTTCTTTGTGATATGAGTGATTTTAATATGTTTTTATCTCATGAAAAAATACGCTAAAGACTTCTTTTTGCTGAGAAGGGCCTACTTTGTAGCCCTTGCTGGTCTCAGACTTACTATATAGTCCTGGCAGGTCTTGAACTCACAAGTGATCTGCCTGCCTCTGCCTACTCAGTACTAGGATTTCAGGTATGTGCTACTTTACCTGGCTGAAGGTTAAAAAGAGTGGCTCTCAGAGAAGACCACATTCATGTTCCTGCTGTGCCTTTTATTTAGAAAGGTTTTTTGCTTTCTCTTAACTCCCATCCTTAAAATCTGTATTAAAATATCTCTTACTTCATTGAAAAACATGGCTTAAAAGAACGAAAAGTGAAAATTTAGTGTTAGTGTGAGCTCCACCTCTGACGGACTATGTGACTGTAATAAAATCTACTAAACTTACCTGTGCTTTAATGTCCTCACCCATAAAATGGGCTGGCAGTTTATAAACTCTTAGAGTTAGTAAAGACGTGTGCAAAACCTTAGAATAACACAAGTGGGCTGGAGAGATGGCTCAGCGGTTAAGAGCACTGACTGTTCTTCCAGAGGTCCTGAGTTCAATTCCCAGCAACCACATGGTGGTTCACAACCACCTTGAATGAGATCTAGTGCCTCTGCTGGCGTGCAGGCAGAAGACTGTATACATAATAAATAAATAAAATCTGTTTTTTTTTTTTTTTTTTTGGTTTTTCGAGACAGGGTTTCTCTGTGTAGCTTTGGAGCCTATCCTGGCACTCGCTTTGGAGACCAGGCTGGCCTCGAACTCACAGAGATCGGCCTGCCTCTGCCTCCTGAGTGCTGGGATTAAAGGTGTGCGCCACCAACGCCTGGCTAAATAAATAAAATCTTAAAAAAAAAAAAAAAGAATAACACACATGATATAGTGTTTGACTATTGCTCACACCTTTTTTGTATTTTCTTCTTTTTGGTTTTTCAAGACAGGGTTTCTCGGTGTTGCCCTGACTGGCCTGGAACTCCCTGTGTAGACCAGGCTGATCTCAAACCCACAAAGACCTGTCTGCCTCTGCCTCCCTAGTACTAGGATTAAAGGCACACACAACCACTGTCTTTCTCCCTTTTTTGTATTTTTTCCGAGACAGGGTTTCTCTGTGGCTTTGGGGGATATCCTGGAACTAGCTCTTGTAGACCAGGCTGGTCTTGAACTCACAAAGATCCGCCTGTTTCTGACTCCCAAGTGCTGGGATTAAAGGTGTGTGCTGCCACCACTGCCCAGCCTTTTTTTTTTTTTTTTTGAGACAGGGTTTCTCTGTGTAGCTTTGGAGCCTTTTTTGTATTTTTGAGAAAAGGTCTTATTCTGTAGCCTAGGCTGAACTACAATTCATTATGTAGCTGAAGCTGCCCTCAAACTCTTGTACCTGCGTCCCAAGTACTACAATTCACAGTAGGTGCCATTGTATTCCCAGTCCCTATCACTTTCTTAATGAGGAAAATATATTGATTTTTCTAATAAGGCCATTATTTATAAACAAGATTTGGATTTTATATTGCAGAACACATGAATACATGTATATATGAATACATATATGTAAGTATAAATACTGCAGTCATACCTCATATAAGTAAACTTAATTTTGCCTGCATAATTAAAAGAAAAAGATGCAATACTACCAATTCTGGAGTAAAATCTCTTTCTCCAAACCAATTACTCAGATATTCCAAGACACTAGTAACTGTTGCCTAAAAAAAAAAAAGAAGTCGGGTGGGGGCAGGAAACAGTGACATTAGAGATAAAACACTGACAAGTTCAACGTGAATTCCATTATTTGCAGTTAAAAAACAGCTGTAAGGGTTAAATGTTCTGTAAGCTTCCAGAGATTACTGTGAGTAAGGAGTGTGGCTCACACCTAGCAATTGGCTTTTTCTTTTGTTTCTTGAGACAGGGTCTCACTATGTGGCCCTGCCTGGCCTAGATTCACAATGCAGAGCAGGCTGGTCTCAAACTTGTGGCTATCCTCCTGCTTCTGCCTCCCAAGTGCTACCATTTACAGGCATGAGCACAAGCCTGACTAAAAAGGGTCCTTTAAGAGAAATAGTTTTATACTTTCAAGTGCCAACGTAGGCTTTAAATTTAGTTTGTAACTAATGAAAAATTTCAAACATTCCTACAAAAAGAGCCTTTAGTTTACTTACCAATTGAAATCAAGTTGAAAACCAAATCTAAAGAGAAACAAACTTAGCTAGAGAAGGATGTTTTAAAACTACAGATGAAATTATCAATGCTTGAGTATATTCTCTTACTTAAATGTAAGTGGGTACTTAAAAAGAGCCTCAAATAATAGACTTCAGCTATGACTACTAGCTTCTTTCCTTTCTGAGACAGGATGTCTCTACAGAGCCCTGGCTGTCCTGGAACTCACTCTGTAGACCAGGCTGACCTAAACTCAGTGATCAGCCTATCTGCCCCCTGAGTGCTGAGGTTAAAGGCATGTGCCAACTGGCTTCATTTGTTTTTTTAAGTTGACAATAAAAATCTCTACTCCTAAAGGAATAAAGAATGAAATCCCATCTGTTTCCCACTTTGGTCCAATAAATTATCTATTTCAATCTTTATGAATTATGCTGAGACAGGCCCTTTACAACTATAACTGTGTCTTGGCCTCAAGTACTGAATTCTGATGCAGACTTCACATTCATAACTAAATGTACAAAAATGAATGTTAGCACCATATCAGGAACATATAAGCACCATCTTTCACAGAATCCTTTTACTTGATGAAATTTTGTTTCCTCAGCTATAAAACAGCTATTGGCATTATTATTTTACATTGAAATATAATCAGAATCACTGCAAGGCCTAGTCAAGACCCTGCCTATAATAAATACTTAGTAAATGGATTCAAACCCTTTCATATACACTGCAAGCAAAAGACTGTATGCATTGTTTGACGGACAGTGCTTACCTGATTCATTCTGCTAACAATACTAAGCAAGGGAGGAAAACCAATCTGAAAGAAAAAGGAGAGATGGAGGTTTACTAAATGACAGCACAAGTGGGACTTCATTTACTTCTGGTCAAACTTTTAAGTTTCTTGCCAAACAAAGGACAGGAAATCCTAAGGGCTGGGTGTGTAGTTCTGTGATAGAGCACTTGGTTAGTGTGTGTTACATGCTGGGTCTCAGTTATGTGAGGAAAAGGAAGAGAGGGAGAAAGGGAGAGAGAGAGAGAGAGAGAGAGAGAGAGAGAGATAGAGAGACTGGAGAAATGGCTCAGCAGCAGAGTGTTATTTCCTGACCCTGTAGAGGACCCATATGGTGGCTCACAGCTGTCTGTAACTCTAGCTCCAACAGGAGATCCTTTCCCCTCTCTGGCTTCCTGGACACCGGGCACACATATAGGCAGGCAAACACTCATATACATGAAATTAAAAGAATCTTAAAAACCAAACCAAACGGAACGAAAATTCCTTCTAAAAAAGAAAGAAGCCTTTGAGGCTGGGGAGATGACTCAGTTGGTAGAGAGCTTGCCTTGCAAGAATGAGGACCGGAGACCGGGCGTTGGTGTTGCACGCCTTTAACCCCAGCACTCGGGAGGCAGAGGCAGGCGGATATCTGTGAGTTCGAGGACAGCCTGGTCTCCAGAGCGAGTGCCAGCCCACCAGCCTAGAGAATAGGTAAGCCTAGGCTACTAAGTTTGGATGGACAGCCTCTGAGGAGTAAGAGCTGAGGCTGGCCTCTGGCTTCCATTATGCTCCTCTACATACATGTGCACCCTCAGATAGACAAACAGAGGCCAATTTCTTCACTATGAGACATTCTGAGCATATTTTTTTTTTTTAAATTAATGTCTTTTATTTTTTTGAGACAGGGTCTGCTTATGTAGCACCAAAAATCACAGAGATCTGGCAGCCTCTGCCTTCTGAATACTGGGATTAAAGGTGTGCACCTCCTCCCTGCCTGGCTGCTTATCTGTTTTTAAGACAGTGTCTCATTATGTAGACCAAGTTGGCCTCAAATGCCAGAGATCTGCCTGCTTCTGTATCTTGAATGCTGGGATTAAAGACATTCATCACCATACCTGGCTTTTATTTTAATTTTTGGTTTGGTTTTATGAAAGAGGTTCTCGCCACACAGTCCAAGCTATCTTGAACTTACCGTATAACCCAGCTGGACTCAGGGATCCTCCTGCCTCAGTCTCAGAAGTACTTAGTGCTAACATTACAAATATGCCCCACAACTCATGGCTCGGAATAGGATTTTAGTAGCTGAAATATTAAAGTAAGCAATCTAAAAAAAAAATGCTATTTGAACATACTAACTTTTTTTTTGTTGTTTGAGACAGTCTTATATATCCCATAGTAACAGCCAAATCAGTAACAGTTCTACGAGAAGTGAGGTTGGGCATATTCTAGAAAAAGTTTTAGTATTTTGTGATATGTCTATTTATACCTTTTGTTTTTTCCTAGTTTTTTTTTGTGTGTGTGTGAGTGTGAGTGTGTGTGTGTGTGTGTGTGTGTGAGGGAGAGAGAGAGAGAGAGGGAGAGGGCG